CCCTAGAGGAGGGAGGGAGGGAGTGTGCGTATGACAGGTAGGATAGTATACTAGTGCAAACTGTAGTGAATAGCACAACAGAGGAGCTGAAAGATGTAACAGCATGGTGTGTTTAGCTTGGGCATTGATCCTAATGATTCAAAACAATTTGGTGGGAATTTTTTAGTGCAGCATAACTACTCTAGACCTAACCTTTATGTCCGATATCATCCCCTCAAAATCCAAGCCAACTGTTTTGGGATCATAGTACCGGTACTCTGACCATGGAACTCTTGCATCATTGAAAATATTCTTGTGATTACCTGCAAAACAAGTTTGTTGGCCATTAAAATTGATATTAATTAAATGAATCGTACAAAAAGCACAAGGAAGTGGCATATCAAACCCCAAGTAGGAGACGATATCAGAACTTGTGCTCCAGGGAAATATCGCTCAATGAGAGCTGCAGCTAATCGAAGAGAACCGGTGCCTGAGAGACCTTGAACAGTTGCAACCTGGAAATTTTATACAAATCGATATCTAGTTTATTATCAACGCATTATTATGTGCCATTAATATCTTTGAGGCTAGGATAAAAAATTAAACTCCTCTCAGAAGAGAAAAAAAAGCTTATGTCCTCAACATACTCTTTGTTGCTCTATCACCGGGTTGTCTGCTCCGAATAGTAACTCTGCAGTCACCTTATTGAATGCAGCCAAACCTTCGATTGGGAGATACTACATAAAAATGATCTATGTCTGGTGAGTTGAAGAAAATATGGAGATTAAAAACTCTGGTCACTCTTACAATTGAATATATTAAGATACCTCTTTGTTTTCTCCCCTCTCCAGCATAAGATTCTCAGCCTAGAAAATGAAAATCAATTCCAGATTTGCCATATCATTGCTGCTGCTTGTAAGTGAAAAGGTCCAAAGCTAGACTGCCATTAAAGAAATATATACCAAGCAGACTGATAAAGTGCACTAACCTTCTTAACAACATCAAGCACATAAGGCTGCAACTCTTCAGTTCGGTAGGCCCCAACTCCAAGGTTGAGCTTCTTTACATCTATGTCTGCTCTAAAAGCTTCAGAAACACCAAGGATAGGATCAGGGGGGGCCATAGCAATACCCTCGAAACGAGATACATTCACTGCAACAGTCATAGATATCCGGCCAAATGACTGCAAATCAGAAACAGCAAACCCACATCTCAAAACTAAACATATCAAGCTCGAATCCACCCAAATATGCATGTTAAGTTCAAATCAAGTCATATCAAAATCTTCAAAAGAAAAGAAGCATGAACTGGTAAAAAAACCCATGATTTCAACAAATATGTGATTAAACAACAAAGCCTCCATCTTTTACACTTCTAAACGAACATAGCTGCTGCTTCAGCAAAAATCACGAATCCTCCACCAATTACAAAACATAGGATCAAGCAAACAATAATTCAATAAAAAAACCAAAACACCCAACAATACAAGAATTAACGTTCACACCTTTTTCTTGTTAGAGGGATTGCCTTTCTCCTTGTTAAACAATGTACTCACACTACCACTTCCAAGCCTCGTCTTTCCCTGTCCAAAACCACAATTAAAATTCCTGATCCACATCATAAATATCCGTTTGGCTGCCAAGAAAATAACAAAATACGAACTTTTGAATCTTAACGTCTACTTTCATAGTCTATTTTATTTGATTTGCCACATTTTCCCTGTAACCAAACAGAAAACTTAGAAAACTGGTGTCCCAGAAGAGAAAAACAGTAGAAAGTGGCGATTAAAGTGGGAAATATAGCTACCTTGAGAGTTTCTTGCACAGAAAGTGAAGCAGAAGGAGTAGCAGAAGCTAAAGAAATCATTGTTGAAGCCATCTGAATAACAAAAATCACACTGCTCAGTGGTGAGATTTCTAAGGAATGATTTTGATAAAATCAAACAGCCACTTGTGCGATGTACAAGTATTTAAGGTGCTTAAAATATAGATGGGTTTATTAAAGAAAACGAAACCTTGAAAAACCGTTGGCTTTAGAAAGAGGAAACCGCTGTTGGCTATAGATACTGGAGTTGTTCTGTGGTAATGTTCGTAATCAAGTAGTAGTCTTGCGTCGAAGATTTGAGTGCATGCTTTGATATGTAACGATGGCGTACATTTAAGGGTAAATTAATCCAAGGATATTTATAAAACTCCGACTGAGTCTACCGACTCTAAGATCCACTCAATCCAAGATCTCAATTAATTAATTCGGGTTAAAAAAATAAAACTGACATGATCTAATTAGATCAAAACTCAGATCGATTAAACTAAAAAACAGAGTTCATTTTGTTTCAAATAATTTATTGTTAAAATAATATTATTTTAATATTTTTATTCAAAATCTAATTTCTATTATTAGTGTTTTTTACTCAAAAATATATTAATATATATATATATATATATTAATATATATTTATTTATTTATTTTTAAAAATCATTTTTAATATCAACATTTTAAAATAATTTAAAAATATATAAAAAATAATTTGAAATAATTTTCTTTTTAATTTTACCCTTCGGAAAACAATACAAAACAAGGGCTTAGTTTTCACATCTCAATTAAATTTTAAAGATAATATCCATATATTCCGAACGTAATATTCGACCGACCAATGGTCAAGGATTTGAGTGCATGCTTCCATATGTAATGATGACATAATAATTTAGCCGAAATCTTTTTTTTTTAATGATTAGAAAATTCTTGAGGTAATTTGTCTACATCTTAATCAAGTTTTTAAAAATAGTGGCCATGTATCTGACTAACGCATTTATAAAAGATTTTGGTAGCGTAAAAGATAAAAGATATGATTTATCATGTCATGAGAACATAGAAATAATAAATCAATATACACATAAATATGGTAACTAACGAGAGTCGAACGCAAACAATCCAATGTGTAATTTACAAGATAAACAACTTATGTGTTGCAAGATAAACATTTTTTGTTTGTATTATAATTTTTTAAAAAAAAATTATTTTTTTTCATTTTAAATTAATATTTTTAATGTTTTCGGATTGTTTTGATATATTGATTTTAAAAATAATTTTTAAAAAATAAAAAATATTATTTTAATACATTTATAAATAAAAAATACTTTAAAAAACAAATCCTATCATCTTTTTAAATATTCATGCAAAAACTATTTAAAAAAAAATCTAAATAGACATGATGAATTAATTTGGGGACGATCAATTTGGAACCTAAATAAATTTAGGTTAAAAACAAATTAAAAAAATAACTAATTCAATAAAAAATCAAGGTTAATCTAGCAACGCAAGCTTCCTCATGTCAAAACCTGATTGCTAATATATTTTTTTTTTATCAAAACAACATCAATTTAATTAATTTAATTAGTTGGTGATACTTTAAATTTATAATCATCATCATTGAGTCCTTTTATTTTAATTATTTTTTTAATATTTTTGAGATCCACCTGTGATCCAGCACTTTATCCATATAGAATCCCCAGTAGAGTTTTAAATCTACGGTGGAAGGAGGTGGTGGACATCCACCAGTGCTGAAATTTGATAATTTTATGTGGTCTTCAATTCATGTTAGGCCACAAGAAAATAATCTCTCCTAAAGTAAAAACAAGAGAGAGGAACTTAAACGCAACCCCACCACAGGAGAGATGCGATCGCAGTTATGGATTGTTGATAAAAAGTTGTGGTTAATCTTTCTGCCCTTGTGACTGGTGGGGAGCTCATTTACTTCAGAAAGCCATCTGCCAGCAGATTAGTGGCTGGAGTTTACCAAATGGGCCCCATTTGGCCCATGGGCCCGTTCAGTTAAAAATGTTTGGACACTGACACTGGTCTCTTTCCCCATATTCAGCGGCTTCAGTTAATCTTACAGGACAACAACTAACCGGCTAGCCTATTATGCTTGTCAACTTCCACAAAAATAAATAAATAAATATATAAAAGGGAGTGGCAAACAAGCAGTCCAACAGCATTCCCTCAATTTTATTTTATTTTTTAACTAGAATTATTATTTTTTAATTTTTTCAGATCACAAAAATAATTTTTTTTAAATAAAAAATATTATTTTTATATATTTCTAAAAAAAAAAAACTTTAAATCACATCAACTACAACTACCACCGCAATCATAATTCCAAACTAAACATAATCATGCAACATCTGTTCCGCAAGGTCAGGCTAGTAAAATAAATGGCAAGAATTCACCATCACATAAACGAAGAAAATAAAACGACAGGAATCCTGAGCAAACCCCATTCTCCCCTCGTGTGGATTTCATTGAAAAGAGAAGAATGAACACTGAATGCACGAGTACATTTTCTGAAAACTGAAAACGTCACTGAGCATTTAATTGCAGTGCCAAGAAGAGAAATGCAGCAAAAATGATCAGCATACATATCTGCGAACATCCTGTGACAATTTTGTTTGCTGAGAGAGTTGCATCCAATCATTAACAAAGGCCATGGCTATGCAAGGTCAGATGGTTCATGGAACTATATGCAATCCCCCAAATACAATGAGAAGATTACATTTATGATCATGAAAAAAAGAAGCTATATCATACTTGAATTATCTTAAAGACTCCATTATTAAGGGGATTGCGTTTATAGAAGATTGATCACAGATTATGATCAAAATCAGAACATCGTAAAAGAGATTTTGCTTAAAAATCAAATGAAATGAAAAGACCATGATTTTAGAAATGAAAATCAACAAAGGAATCTATTTTAAGCATGTAAACATTGAACAGAAACGGAAAAAATAATTTCCAATCGACCTAATAAAACAGCTCTTAATTAGACTAACTAATGCATCCAACCAATTAAACAAAGCCAAGCCACTCAAACTAGCTTCTACCATAGTTGGTACGCAGAAGAAAACAATCTCATTTCACTGCCTTCACGACAGTGAAGACTAATAAATCTTAGAAAACGGCAATGACAAAGCACCCTAATGATAACCAGATCATAAAAAACAGCACATCAAACACAATCAAAATGCATACCAAAAACTAGCGAGTTACATCAAATTGAGAATTGATCAAAAGTCAACACTTCAAACATAGCAAGATTTCTCGATTGGTACTCTCATGAGTTCCTTACAAAGCAATATCAACTACAATTCTCTCCTCAATGAATTCTGCAACTCATTAAAACCCAAAAAACAATAACAAAAATCCAATATTCCAAGTACCCAAAACACCTCAGAATCCAAGCTTAGTCCTTCTCCAGTGCCTGCGTTTGGCGTTGTACCTAAAGAAAACACAAAAAACCCCACATTCAATAACTTCGAAACCTTCTTCGTTTCATTTCCTTTTCTTTTCTTCAAAACAAACAGCGAAACAAAGACAAGAAAAAAGACCTGATAGTGTTGTCTGTTCTCATGCGAATCCAATGAGGGATGGGCCTGTTTTGCCTCATCTTCTTTGCTAGTTTCTTCTTGATCCTAAATGTCTTGTGTGAAGGCTGCACAAATAGAAACATCAAGAAAACATGTCAAGAATCAACAAAAGAGTTTCGAGTCAATCAAGACAGGATCTATCTAGACAGGAAGAGGGTTACCATTTTTGCTTGCTTCTGATAGGCTTCTGCTGCTGCTTGGTCTTGTCACTGAGAGGAGAAACCCTAGAACTTATAAGTCTTGATATTAGGGTTTTTTATACATGTATTTATTGACGGTTGTGGGCTACCCAGAGGTGAAGGATAGACATTTTTTAAGAGTCTGGGCCTTGGTTTTTTCAGTGGGTGCCCAAAGTCTGATACTTGGGCTGAGCCCATTCGTTGCTTAGAAAAAGCTCTGATTATATTTTTGGTAATTTTTATTAATTTATTTTTTAAATACGAAAAACCATCTCAAAGTTTCAAATAGCATTATTTTGTCTATAAAATGAAAAGGTTAAGAACAATGGTTTTTTTTTCTAAGCTTTCTGTCAAACAAAGACATTTGGTCTTTTTAAAGATAGCATTAATGTTTTTTTAAGAAAGGTTTTAACAAACAAAACATCACCTGTTTTGACCAATTATATGTTATTTATTGAAGTATTTTTAGTTATCTTTTCATGTTAAAAAATTTAGGGTTCAATTTTTTAAAAAAAAATTATTTTAGATTTATTTTCATCTTAAAACACATAAAAACACATTATATAAACCTCAATAAAATCATTTTCAACCTTAAATTAATTTATAAATTTAAAATCAAACTGAATCAGAATAAAATTTATAAAAATAGATGAATTTTTTGACATCAAATTTGATCTTTTTAATGATCAAAATATGGCTAGTTCTTTTTATTTTTTTCTGCAACTCTCTTCCCATATCAATATTTAAAGATTAAAACATGATAAAAACAAAACTTTGGACTAAAACACAAAAATTCTTAAGAATAAGAGCTAAAAAATGTATAATTTGAAACTTGAGAGATGGAATCGAAGTTTTTCAAAGCCTTTTCATAAAACATTTGGTTCCTTTTCAATCTCCCATTCAACAATAACCTTAAATACTATTTTGTGAGATAAATCCTTAGTTTAACGTCATAATATTCTATGATACGTAGGATGGGCAGGAGCATGGGTTTTTAGTTTAATGTTGAAATATTGTAATGACATGTGGGATAAGCAGTAGCATGCAAATTAAAATAAACCCCAACACATAAACCAGCATATCTTACAAGGATTAAATTCAAAAAATAAAGTTTAGTAACTAAAGCACACACAAAAAATAAATTCAAGGAGCAAATAAATTTCAGAAGACAGGTTTTTGATGAAAAAAAAAATACATCTTTTCATATGAAAACACATTATTATGAAAAATAATTTGACCCAGAATACTTTCCATATATATAAATTAAGTAAAGAATTGCTTATGAGCAGGCGCCAAACTTTTTTTAATAATAAATTTTAAACTTTGATAAATACTATTGACTGATTGAGATAGAAACCTACAACATAGCTACATCAGTTAAACTAGTTTTAACATGAAGATATGATCTATGGTCCATGTAATCGGTGGGTGGCAGCGATCCAATGAGCGTGAATTTTAACAGAAGATAATCTCCTCATCACAGAATGTTTTTTCCCATAAAAACACATAATTCGGACAAGCCAACCATAATTTATCTCATGATTCGTATTGATTATTCTGTTTTGAACTGAAAATAAATCGCAGCATTGCCTTTACAGGCATGCTTAAGTGCTCATTTTCCCTTCCTGTCCAGCATCATCGTCATCAAATCACTACCTTCTCTTTGAAGGACAACAGATGATTTTATCTCGTACAAAAAGAAATTCAGAAAGAGCCTTCTGATCAGCGAACAAACGGAACGAGGAAGTACTCGGCATAGAATAACTGTAATAACATAGGAATAACCAGGGGCGGAGCTGGGATTACTTAACAGGGAGGGCCAAAAGTAATATAACAAGTATAAATTTTTATATATAAAACATGGTAATATATAAAAGTAAAATTCACATATTAAAAAAATTAATATATAAAAGCAAATTAAATATAAAAAATAGAATTATTAGTTCCAAAAAAAATTAAATTAAATTAAAATTGGATATGTATTCTTTAAAGAATTTAATTTGGCTAAAAAGATCATGACAAATTTATTAGATATGTGAGCAAAAATTGATAATTTTAATAATTTTATTAAAAATAAAACAGAAAAAAATCTAAATTTAATCAAAACAAACCTATAAAATATATTCAATTTATTAAAAAAAATGACATTCATAATAATAAAAAATCAAAAAATAGTAAAACTAGTAAATTTAGAAAAAAATAGCAGAATTATATATATATACCTCATGAAATTCTTAACGAACATAAAAAAATTTAATTTGGATCACTAATTACACAATAAATTAATTAATAGTTTTATTTTAATTTGTATTATTATATTTTTTGGTTAGGATTCTAAAAAAAAAGATAAAAAAACAGTAAAAAATAATTAAATTGAACAAATTATATTTTTGTTTAGGTTTTTACAACTTGGATGAAAAGATAATTTTATATTCAATGATAATTAATTAATAAAATAATAATTTATTATTAAATAATCTATTACTTATTATATTTAAATACTAAATAAAAAATATCTAAAATATTTTACAGGGATATTTTACAGGGGCCGGGCCCTGCGCCTCTGGGAATAACCAATGAAGCGGTTAAACATGTTTCATGTAATTAAGATGGAAATTCTATATGATTTGACTTGCCTTCCAGATGAACATGTAGAAGGAAGTTATGGAATCTTTGCTGGTAAGATCGACCGATCGTGCTCGAAGCCACAGAATGAAAGCTAGAGTACAATGGCCTAATATCTGAATCAAAACCAATTTTAGAAGCAAAAAAAATTGTAGAAGACTAGATAAACAGGAATGTTTGCTTGCAGGGATATTATAGGATACATACTGTGATGAACTTGCTTGGTAGGAATGTAGACGAAGCTCCTACAACCACAGCAGCTCCATACGCTATTAGCAGCATGTTAACACAGAGCCAAAAGACCTGGAAAGACGAGCAAAAAATGCGTCAGGCCTTTGACATATATGAGAACTTATCCTTCTACTCCATCTTGCAGGAAGAAAACAAAGCATAGAAATGTTATAATATTAAGTGATTAGTTTGCTTACTCTTTCTTGCCCTAAGCTGACACTGAAGGATTGAATGCCATAATCTCGGTCTCCATCAACGTCAGGTATATCCTATTGAAATGCTAGAAAGACATTAATTAGGAATCATCATGATTATAGGCTCATTTCTTTAACATCTTTAGGCATCTACAGTAGCCACACAGCCTCAATTATGGCTGAGCCGGCTCAATTCAGGCTGCAAATCGGATTTAACTTTGATGTTTACGTACTTTGGTACCGTTGTATTTAAAATAAAGTAATAATTAATTGCCTTACAAGGTCCATTATGGTTGTGGATTTACCTTGAATAGGGCAATGACAGCAGAAAAGAAGCACATGAAAGCAGTTGCAAACACCAATGATCTTGTCACAACTGTTGTCTTGCCAAGAACAAATTTCTGCAAAGTACGATCGATTTGGTCGAGTCAATCAGGGAAGCAATAAGAAATCCTGAGTGATAGATTTGTCATACAAAACAATAGACTTTCAAATGTTGATCAGACTGAGGTATCCGTGGCTCAGTGAACTACAAACTCAAGAATTTCTTTTCACCTGCATGTGTACAAAGAAAGCGAGTTGAACGACAATAGCCCTCACGATCATGATGCAAGTTGCAGCAAGAAATGCGTGCTTCTTCCATCTGAGAAAAGGAAGCTACAAAGAAACAGAGATTTTCAGCATGTCATGCTATAATCCTTCCAAGTCTTTCAGATCATTTAGATAGCAGCAGAATATTACAAAACTGTTGATTTAAGGTGCGCAAGGAACTTACTTCTATAGAATACACACTCCCGAGCACACAACTTATGAGTAGGGCAGAAAGTAGTAGTGGGGATTCAAACATAATTCCCATTGCAAAACTCTGATAAATGAAGTCAAATAATCAACATAGGAGGCAAATTAATCAGCAGACTGACATACAAATCCTTAAATCTTCTCTGCTGCTGTGTCTGAACAAGTAATCCTACTTACTGCCAACAAAGACGCCGAAACAATAGCGACACCAGTTCCCATTGAGAAATCGCCAGAAGCAAGTGGGAGATAAGGTTTGTTTACCTGGGAACATAAAAGCAGTAAAAAATGAAGCCAAGAACACAGCATTGGCAGGCAGTGAGGGAAGCGTTAATTGAAACAACTGTACCTCATCAAGAAGAAATCCATGCCGTAACCAAAATTAATTCATATACCATGCATTTAGTAGAAGATAAATTGCTGCAGAGATTATACAAACCGATAATTTAAGCCACGTGAATACATACCTTGTCTATTTCAACATCAAATAATTGATTCAACCCCACCACGTAAATGTTCATCAACACCGATGGCACCAATGCCTGAGTTGTCAAAAGAATTCTTTAGTATTGGAGCTAAAATCCCATCAGAGGCAATTATTGGTCTTCTTGTCCAAAACTTACCTTCAGCAATCCCATAAAAAATGTGGGAGACAGTTCAGATATTGTTTCTACTGGTAGAAGAGAAACTGATGTTATCCCTATAAGCTGCACAAAAAAAAAGGAAGAGAAAAGAAAAGAGAACTTAAATTAGCCCAGGTTTACTGACTTCTTACTATCCGAAACGTTGATTCTATGTCATGAAAGTGTAAAAACATGAGACTTACAGTGCCAATCACAGTATGAGGACGAGAAAACTGATAGAACGAATGTAACAGCTGGAATACAGTGTCCTTCAAACTCGACGAAACATTGTCATTCTTAGGGTTTGTCGAAATTCTATCCTGTAAAGTGACAAGAACTCTGTGCTCTCTGTATCCTTTGCAAGTTCTGCCAGGCACAGTTTTAGTGCTGGCTGAGGATGACAATCTTGAGGGAAAAACAACGGTTTTCTTGCATTGGCTTCTCTTCGGTGCACAATGTGCTTGGTTCACCGGCACTTTAACTGGGGTGACACTCCTGAAAATCTTTGATGAAAGACTGTTGAAAATCTTGAATTGAAATAATTTCTTAACAGTTGAAGCAAAATCATTGGGATTTTAGGAAGATTACAAGTGATTCTAACTGGAAACTTCAAGTTGTTGAAAACAAAGGAACAAATCCATATCTCCTTTTCATTCTTAATTTTTGACATGTGCAACACTAACCTCGACGTCAAACGAATTAAAAGGACTTATTTACTAGTTTTTACCAGTGAATTCCACATAGATTCAAATATATACACTGTGTCCATTGAATTTTTTTTCCAAACTCGTAAATTTATATTATGTGCACATATGATTTTGGTTTTTTTAAAACATTATATGATTTGATTGATAAGAACATTGAAAAAATAAATTTTAAAACAATGCATATACTCAGTAAGCAGGATCATATGGTATTTCTGAACGAGTACCTTTGCTTATTAAAAAAAAAGGGGGGGCAAAGAAAGAAAAATCTCTATAAGAGTACCTTCGGTTACCACTTCTCTGTGCTTCCAAAAACGTTACATTTCTCACCAACCCATCTGCCAAAGGCCAAGAAACTTCTTACACAATCGAAACATTTGATCAGAAATCCATGAAGAAATTTGACACAAACCTTGATGATGATGATGATGATTTGCTGGGGCACCAAAGCATGAAAATGCACACAAACTCACCATTGTACGCTCTATCTTTTTTTCCCTGTCAAATAAACACGAAAATCAAGTGACCTAGTTGACAGGCCACTATATATACACTGTGACCTCCTGCAATAGTCTCTGTTGAATTCTGCTTCGGCCAGTCAATCCCTGTATTTATGACTGTTGTGCTGTGTGGACGACGAACAACAGTAGAAAAAAAACAAGAAGAGGGAGAAGGAGAATAAATTTTAAAGTTAATTTTCTTATAAATAATTTATGATAAAAACAAATTAAAATGACCGTAGGTAATAAATATGTTTGATGAGAATGATTAAAAACATTATTTTTTTTAGAAAAAAATATATGGTATAAGTAGAATCTATAAGTTATCGAAAAAATTAATTTTTAATTAAATCAAGATCCTGACGTAATCCTATAACAAATTCTTAATCTAAGTAAACAATTATTTTTAACCAAATGTATTTATGATTTTTCTACTAATTGAAAATTAAAAAGTAACTCAAGTAATTAAGAAAAGCCAAAATTAGCTTTGATATTAAAGGAAATTTAGGTGGACATTCGCATCCATTTCCTTTTTTTGATTTATCAAACAACTTAACTGTCCTATTTATTTATGTAGTTAAGACAAGTTCATGCATGTCTCTTGGCCGTACGAATCTCTAATGGAGGTTAGATGCGTGTTGTGTCTATCTGCATGATACTTCCATTTGTCCTAGGATCGTGTTTGGTTAGTGTTCTGGTTAGAACAGAAATGTAATTAATTAAAAAGATAATGATGAAAAGATAAAAATAAATATATTTTTAAATATTTTTAGAGTGAGTTTCTACCGTTTTAGAGCAAGGAAAAATGAGTTACAAGTTCTCTGTATCCTGTCTGTTTCCATCTTGTACAAAGTAGTATTATCATCTCATAGGAATATGAACAGTATTTTCATGTTTTTATATTTTTTTAAAGATTTATTTTTTGATATTCATCGAAAAGATTCAAAAATATATATAAAAAATTAATTTAAAATATCTTCTTTTTTAATTTACTAAAACTCCAATTCAGGCACAGCACAAACAGGGCCTTTCCGTGCTCTCTGCAGCATCCATCACCCATAACCCTAAGGATGCTATCTGAAACAGGAAGGGGGAGTGGGGGCCAGTGGTGGTTGTCCAATGAATCTTGAGATGGGCCCAAACAGGGCCTTATTAAGGGATCTTACTTACCAAATTGAGAGCCCAAACTAACCTTGAGATGGGCCATTCACAAAATGTTAAAACATGCTACAGGCTCACTGAGCTTGTCTGGCCCAACATAGAATTACTATTTTTTATTGGCCCACATTTCTATCTTTTGTACCACAGCCCACCTTATTTCTCTTATCCAAGCATTTCTTTATTGGGTCCAGATGTGGGCTAATCCGAGGCCTTCGAGCACTATAATTGGTCCAGTAATTTTTGAATTGGGCCAGACTCGGGGGCGATGATATTCAGATTTCCCCACCTTACCAGCAATCCCAAGCATGACACTGCGAGGGGGTTTAATGGCTGTTAAAATTAGGGCAAGCAGATTCCAACGACAGCTCCCGCAGCCTGGTTTAAGGTTTGAGGTATGAATTAATTTGAATAAAAAAATACATTTAAATTTTTTAAATTAAAATAATATTATTTTAAAAATTATATTTTTTAAAAATAACTCGGATAAAAATAAGTTAATGGACCTGTCATCACAACGTCCAAGCCTGATTGGACCAAATTAACACTTAAGTTATTTTTATCAATTTCTCATAATTCATTAATTTTGCGCAATGGAATAGCAAACAGGAGATTACAATGAAAAATCATTTTCTTCGTGGAATCTTTAATCTGGAAACTTCGTCCGAGAAATCATGAATTTCATGGGAGATGCAAGCTCACAGGCATATCCCAAATCCAAAAAAGAATAATGTATCCATTAAATAAATATATTAATAAATCACGCCATGGAATGTGAAAATTGATTTTGAAAGCATTATCTACCTCATCAGACTACGCGGATTTGACAGAAAAAATAACATAAATTTCTACTGAGAAAACTTTCTCCGCACATGGCATGAAAATGACTCTCGCAATTGTCTGCCTGATAGCTTTGCAGCACTCGTGAAGGGGAAAGAGATGTCCTCGTCGTGGCATAAATTTAATATAGGTTAATTAATGTTCAAGCTATTAGACTCGAAACTGCTGCATCGCTTACCAGGCATGTGCCACTTCCCTGTGCCGTTAATGGATTATTACGTGATTGATTTAACAAGGATTATAATTTTCCATAAACCATATTTGAATAAGTCGCGTATAGCAAGGATGAAGACTATGGTTCCAATACATGAGACTATAAATTTTTGAACGTGGTATAAATTATGCTTTTTTAAGGTTTATTTTTTTATTTAAAATTAATAATTTTTTAAAATTTTAAATTATTTTCATGTATTGATATAAAAAATTATTTTTAAAAATAAAAAAATATTATTTTAATATATTTCTAAATAAAAATAATATTTTGAATCTCAATCATTACCACATTTCTAAACACACTTTTAAAGATAGAAATCTAAAACTTTTTTTAATATATTTTATGAAATTTATATAATAGTTTGGATAATAAGAAAAACACATCAACTATTTATATAAAAATTCTAAAAACAGGTATAAGAAACATAAACTAATTGAAATAATTAAAATAAGAATACATAGGAAAAATAACTAAAATAATAAAAAACAACTTTTAATTTTAATTTTAGAAGATTCAATGATCCAATAAGCAAACAAATAATATCTTATTGAAAAGTAGCATTAGAAATCTTATGTAAAATTTAACCTTGATTTAAGAATCGCATCTTCAATTATCACTATTTTAAATTAAGTTGTCTATTTAGATATCCTTTAAACCCTTTTATATCTATCAATTTGATCCATAAAATCCCTGAGATAATTGTTTCACATCACAAACGAACATATCATATAAAATCTTCATACAAATACGATCTAGCAGCTAATCTTAATTTTCATGATCAATCAATCATTTAATATTCAAATAAATATTAGTATGATTTGTTTATATAAATTAATTAATTTTGGAAATCTCTTCTTCCTGTGAATCCTACTGGGTAATATTCTCTTCCTCTTGTTATTTATTATTTATTATTAATTCAGGATGCTTCAACCCATCTGAACGCGAGACAGAACAGTGATCATGCACGATTATTGCAAATGGAGTTGGACGCATCTTCTTCATGGCATATGCTAATGATGAGCTTGTGGTGGTGTTGGCTGCCAACAAAATTCAAAAGAACAGCCTGTGCAAATCCCATGGACTGCGCTGGAGAACTCGCAGGAAACAACATTTCTTTCACATCCCTTGAATCTACATCACTCCCTTTCTTGTTTAGCCACAAAACCGCGTCAAGACTAATAATAAAATCTTGTTTAGGTGTTTGATTAACTTCTTTTCCTTGACTAATTCCCTTAAGAACTTGGAAAATGAAAGGGAATAATAAGATTATGTCCCACTCGTTTAGCTGCAACTAATTAAGATTGTTTTTTCTACAAGTTTCGCGTTGTTTTTAAGATTAAAAATCCCGGATCCAAGGTGGATCTTTGAACAAAACTCAACCCATAATTAGTGCATCTCCAAAGATTGTGTTTAGGATCTTAGGTTGGTTTTCTCCTTTTTTATTGCTCTCAGTCTTCTTTTCAAATAATTTTTGGTGGCTAATAAAGTTGTGGATCATTTATATTTAAAGTGTTGTTAAATATTAAGACAATATAATTAAAAAAATTTAAGAATATATGTTTGTTTGGTATATTGGTATAAAATGTTTTTCTATTAAAAATACATCAAATTAATTTTTAATATCAACATGTTAATTAAAACTATAAAAAACATAAATGTATTATCATCAATAGCTTGCATCTCGAGCATGCAAGAACATAATATTTTTCTCCTTGACGTATAAATCTCGAGCCAAGAAAACCTAAGAGAATTTTTTTAGGTCCTAAGACAGCAAACGGAATTAAGTAACATAAAATTATTTTTAAAATTTTGTTTAATAACTTAAAATTTTATTTTTATTTTGATATTTAAGTATATTTTCAAACAAACTTGTTCTTTTCTTTAACTATTTTATAAATAATTTTTTCTTAAATATATAATATGGTATTTTGAAATCTTTGTTTTACGTGAAGAATAACAATGGGAGTTAATTTTATTAATTTGGAAACGTTTTTCAAACCATGATATAAAATTGTTTTGTGATATTCATCATTATTAAATTATATGCACCTATCACAAATCACAACATCATATCATATCATAAAAAAAAAATAGCAAACACTTTTCGAACTTCTAGCATGGATATATAAGAAAAGATACGTACATACATACATATACATATATATATATATACATATGCTCTATTTTTTTTTTTATTGCTGAAAGCTACGGCCCGCAATATTGGATTAGTGGTGTTATAATAGATGTTACATCAAAATGAATAAAATAAGACAAGACAAAATATCTCACGTCATATGTAAAATCTTAGTTGAGATTTGAGAAGAAGCATAGAAAACGAGATGAAGCACAGGGACGATGCTTTGCGATCATGGCTTGATAATTAAGGAGAAATTAAACCCATTTATCCTGTTATTTTTATATTCTTATGAACTCCATGTCCTTATCCCAAACACAATTCTCAGAAGTTCTCTTGTCTGTTCGATGAACTGTGTGTAAGGACGCATGTGATCTTCCACAGAAGGCAAGAGAAAATAGGCGGCAATGACATAGACGGGACCCTGTAATGGCCACGAAGACCATGGGAGGTTTTTAACACAAATAATGGGGATTCATATTTAGGTCTCAGCAGCTGCTATCATCAGCCATGTTGTGTTCTGGGTCCCATAACCCTAACGCGTTAATTTTGTGGGGTCTAACATCTTTAGCTCATATCTTTCTTGTTCCTGACCTCTGTTTGATGCAAGTCTTTGATTTAGCTGTAAAC